TTTAATGTATTTTTCACGCCCCAATCGATATTTTTACATTACCCATAGGGAAACAAGTAATATAGATGCAAACAAATAGATGCATGCGATATAGGTTTTTCTGCAACATTTTAATGTGAATTTGTTGACCTGGATTTTAAATTTTAAGAGACCAAATTTCCAGTTGGAATAAGTGCATGTAGAACTTAGCTATTCGTAACAGCAACCGCAACAGCATGGAAAGGCTGCAGCCATAATTCATGCATTTCCTATCAGTTATGCTATTCAGTATTGTGCTCAAATAACATTCAAAATTTCAATGCATAACGATATATACGCGCCATTGTCCGGTTTTTCATCGACTTCTTGTGTATACATAATGAAATCCTTTTATATATATAAATAGCTATACACAACGCCATTATATATAATGAAAAACTCATCCCGAATTCGATCTAGCCTTCTAACTTTCGCTATACCACTCAACCTCGTTTGCGTTTCTGATCTGATCTGATCATGAATGATCGAAACATTCCACATGAATGTTAATGTTTATCTGTATCTTTTATATGAACTGATAATTGGTTGAGACAATTATGTTAATTAGGAGAACATTTGTAACAGGTTTGGAGATATTGAATTATATATTGACGTAACTAGCTCTACATTATCCTCATTCATATACAGCCGTCATATTTCGCTCCGTAACTACCCTTTTTTACCTTTTGATCGACGTATCAAAAATTCATCCTGCTGTTTTTTCAACAATTATCGTGCTCTTAATATTAAGGTCGTTTGCGCACACATTTCGTGCAGGATCAAAGTGACATGCAATTATATCATATCTTTTGAAAAGAGCTCTAATTATCATGTGACGGCTTAATTAGGTTATTATTGGAAATGTCAAGATATGCCCCATAATGCGTGTTGAATGATGATGACTGTTGATATACATTTCACTCACTAAACTAATTGTGAGGGGTATCTATTATCGCACGCAGGAAGCATTATTGCAAACAGGCTTCATATATAAAATGGGCCAATATCGCTTTTTCAACAAACTGGTCATCGCGGTGAAACAAGCAGGACAAGGCAGCATATGCACGAGCGTGTTAAGCCGTAACCGCAGCTGTATTCGTTTTATCGCAGCTTTGTTCGGCCAACGGGCCCCGTTCAGATAATCTCAGAGAGAACAAAGTTACCGGGCCTTCGATAAACTCTATTCCACGAAAAACGAAGCTCCAAAGATCCGGGGGAACCTCAAAAGTTGGTGAATTTTTCTGCTCGCCAGATTCATTAGTTCATGATTTGCCTGGAACATGCACCAACCTCAGCGGCGACGAAAAGCAACTGCGCGACGAATTTTTCAGGTATATCGTTAAGCAACTTTCGAAGCCATTGCCACGCCAAGAAATACGAAAGACCCCAGCTCGCCCTAAAATTGGAGCCAAACGCATTATTGTTAAACCAATTGCAGGTAAATTAGCTACCCTAATTGAGTTTGTTATATGTATTCGTTTGTTTGTATTAAGTGTTGAGACTTCAATGCGTAGGTTCGGATAAAAATTTGATAAAATTCCGATGGAAGTTCATTCATCAGTTCGTTTTTCAAACTCGCTATTCAATATCGACATCGCGCGTAGGGTTAGAAGGTCATACAGCAAAAAGTTCCACAAGTTACAACAGACGTTTTATATACAGTGCATGTGTCGCAAAAAAGTACCGTACGAAAAAAATGGTTTCAATTAGAGGGTACTTTCTTTGGACACACGGTGTCATAAATAATGGAAATTTAACTGAATGGAGTGCCAATCAGACCAATCAGATTGCAAGAAACCCCATTGATTTCAAAATGAATACAATAGAGCGAGAAATACGCAAATATATTTTATAGCAGTGCATTATCGGAGGCACTATAAGCACCGATTAATCGATTTAAATATCACAGCCAGCCGTTCTTATATATGTTGGCTAGCGCTTAAGAGCTATAGCCCTTCTTATAAATATATATATAGATTGGCAAATTTACTTCATAGGTAATGTTCTCGAGGATATATTTATAAATATATAAGTACAGTAGTCTATAAGTATGAAGTTAGCATGTATAGGTACATACATGTATTCTTTATATAATAATATATAGCTATATAGTAGCTATTTAGTAGTTTATTAAGTATTGGGGTCTCTCAAAGTCGTTTCGCAAATTTGACGAAGACAAGAGGATGATTTGTTGATTTCAAAAACGGCTCTAGTATCCGGTATTTAAAGTGTTTAGAACACAATTGTAGCTCAGGAATAAATCTCTGACGAATGATTGTGTACTTGAAATCTTGATATAATCGTATATACACCACTTCCACCGCTTCACACCTACTAAGAAGTCACGAAATCCCATTTTTCTAATAATTTGAAAAGGCGATTCCTTCCACATGCAGAAAAGCAACTGGTACAAATGCAATTTTAAAGAAATGATAAAACTACGACTTCAATAGCCAGATATATATATTGCATGCGATGCATCATCTGACATGCTATATTCGTTGGGTCTATATTGCATGAGGTGTTCCTATATGTATATATCAACTCGTTGCAAATAAAAAAAACATCGAGTGTGTGGGGGACGTATTTTAATATTTACTTCGTAAATTTAATCAAATACAGCTAGCTATAAGCCTATAATCCAATATTAATCTTCTCAGTTTTACTAACCATTGTTGCCATTGTTTGTTTTTTTCGGAACCTGCTCATGTCGCAATGGCCATGCAAATTCGCCTGAATTATGCCGCCTAACTGTAAGCAGGCATTTATAACCCCCTAAAGTTTTGTAGAGAATTGACAATAATTGATCCCAGTTATCGAGACATACCCATTCGGCTTCCTGATTTGTGAGAAGACTACAGTGTGGGCTGGTTATGCAAACGGAGTGCAGATGTCGGGTGATTTAATTGACAAAATTCTTATCATGGCATGCCAGATTAATTTTGGCGGGTCCATTCAGCTTCATTTCGTGCACGCCAGCCCTTGAAAATAGTGGTTTATAGTTTAATTGTTATAGTTATAGTTTAATTGAAACGACTTGAATAGCAGTCTGCTGAGACAGGCTGAAAAACTCAAGTTACATTGAAAAGTTAAAATCTGTGCTATATTTTACAATAAAATGCATGGTTTAAAATACAACTATATTATAGGGTAAGCAACTAATGCTAAATCGATTGTGAAGTGGAATGTTTCGAGCATGCCAAAAGTTGTACTAGCTCATGATCAATTGGTATAGGCAAATACAAGACAGCCTCCGGCGAAACCGCATTAGTTTGAATATACTTTAGACGTTACAGGGCTTGTGTGAAGAATAAATTGTGTTGTTATATAGGTGCTGTGTATTTTAAATGTGATTGGTTCATTCGTAGTCACATGACTTTAAATAAATGCAATGTTTCCCGCCAGGGAAACAAGTTCAAAATTGTTGCCCGCAGATTGTCATAACAACGTTTTTTGAAATGAATTTGCCGTGTAACATGTATGTTTTTGTTCCTATATAACAAAACACTTAATGTTCGCTGCACCTCGGGAAATAGTGAGTTTTGTTTTCCCTCGAGTCTCAATGTTTCCCTCGACTTCGTCTCGAGAAAACAAAACTCACTATTTCCCTCGGGAGCATACATTAAGTGTATAATATTTCCATTGCAAAACTACTTATATGCTTGTTATGCACTTTTGCGTTTATCTCAGCAGGACTGCATGCTTGCATGCATTTGTCAAATAAATCATTGTCGCACTAGGTTAAGATTTGACAACTATAGCTGGGCCATTACAAATCTGTCAGCCAATCTTATCATGCCATATTTTCGCCAACGTAACGTGATAAGTACGAGTTACAATTTATATTTGAATTCGTGCAGTGCTGGTATAACACAGCACATCTTTATTACTGTATGATAAATAAAGTAAATAGTAAATATTCGTGAAATGAGTGCTTTCTCATTTAACAGTCGTTCCATTGAAGGCATCACCGCATCACCACATATCACTTCGAGAAAAGCGAGCCAAAGGATTGAAGCACAGCGGTGCAAGATTTATTTCAAATATAAACAGTTTATCACTCATTATTCCCGCTGGGATATTTGAGTAACAATGGTTATTAGATTATGTAATCGCGACATTTAGGCTGCCAGTCCGCTGTGGTGTCACCTCGGCTAATAGCGTGCTTAAATTAAGTGTGACCTGACAGACCATATTAATTATGGGGTAAATGTGTATTAAAACACATCATTGCTTTCATTTATCCATGCAATTCAACATCTTTCTTCGACTACGCGCGAATGTCATGACCCTGTCCATGATACATAGCAAACAATTTTGAGCACAGGCAATAATATGTGCACATTTGCTAACAACATTGAACAATACTCCTCGGATCTTTCTTACCTTGAAAGCAAAAATTTCGAAGGCATTATTGAAATTTCAGTAATTAAAAACCAGGTGGAACAAACGAGGATGTTACTGGCTATGTAACTAATGCTATATTCCTAATACAGTGATTATAAATTTCATATAAACTTGTCTGTTTTCAATCTATTGTTTTCCGTCTCAGAGTGCACTGAAACAAAAATTGGGCGACAGATTGTAATCGTAGCGTGTGCACTTGGCTTGAATGCTCTTTGCTCAATGTAAATAATGGACTCGTGGTGATTGTGTAATGTCAACGTAACGACCAATGATTTTTCACAGCACGAATGGCATTTCTTCACTGCTAAATATCACAGCCGTTGACATTGTAATCATATCATACATGCTTGGAATTATAATTAGGTAGCTAGCTGTGTGATTGTTGGGGTTTTCTGCATATTTTAAATATACACCATGCATGCAGAAATGCCTCTAAATATGAAAAACAAATGTTGGAGAATGGAGATATGCGTATATAGCTATAGTTTTTTATGAGGATTTCAATGACATGTTTGAGATAAGGTTCGATAAAAAGTCTCCTGAAATGGTATCTTGAACGTCTCCTTTTTCTTTAGCGAACTACATGAAAAACAGCCAGAAATTCTCCCTGAACGTTTCCTATATTCAAAAGACGCCAGTTGGTATCAAGTTTTGGCTTTTTGATAAAGAAAAAAGATGTATTCGTAGCTCTTCAATCAAGATCGCTGTATTGAATAAGATGAAAGAGACCAAAAACTACACCAGGGCAATCAAAAAACGTTATCACGAGTTTGTTTCAGGGCAGTATTTTAATTCAAAAGGTGAAAGATGGGTTGTATTTGATGTTTCTTCCGTCATTGCAAGGGTCCTAAGAAATGTCAGGAAATCGTATAAAAGCATGGATACTGCAAAGCTCGTCATTGTGGTAAAAAACAAATGCCCTTCGTCGAAGGTGAGAATCCAGAATTCGCGTCAGTCCTACATAGAAATAACAGCGAACGACCGAGCTCCTGCCCTCAATTGTACTCCTGGTGAAGTGCGCTGTTGCTGGCAACCAATCGCGGTGACAGAAGGAGATCTTTTAAGCAAGGGGTTCAGTTTGATTGCACCACGCATGTTCAACACTGGTTATTGCAAAGGCACATGTGAAGGTCACGCAGGTGGGCGTCGATGTTGTACGCCAACAAAAACAGTTTCATTTCACTATATTTACGCACACAATCGTTTATTCAAGAAAAGTGTGTCTGATAATGTCATCGAGTGCGGATGCCGCTAAAAACAACTGAATATTGCCACGAATCCTATTGTATACATGGATATACATTATATAATGTAGATAATAGATGAAACAGTTATAGTAACTTGTAAATTTCGACTAAAAGCTAAAAGGTTAGTGGGCAATATAACGTAGGCAGTGGTGTTTCTTGCGACTGTTGCATATTTTTCTATGAAGAAGTGTATTATACATGCATATCTTCCATTTTTAGAGAAAGGTGCAAAACGTAAAACTTTAGAACTCAAATTTTGAAAAAATATATAAGAAAAATAAAAATGTTTCGTATAAATGCTTGTTCCTTTTGATATCGGCTGGCGCAAAGAGGATTTAAACGTTTGATGATTCGAAAGACAAAACGATAAATGGCAATTGACCATAACAAAAAAGATGGCGGATGTACATTTTACCAGAATGCATTGCGGTCGGAAATCGTTTAAAAAAGTGAACTGACGTCTTTTAAAGGACAGGCATGAAACAGGAAGTTATCATCGCTGTGTTAAAATTTCACGTCATTAGGAGTTTTTTCTGCCATCTTTTTTCAGTCAATCATTCTTAATGCCCACAATATATTCTGGTAAAATGTACATGCCGCCATCTTTTTCGTTACGGTCAATTGAAAACTGTCCAATCCCAACAGTCCTAACCAACTGAGGTATAGAGTTGCGTTTTCTTGATATCACTTATGACAATTTCGCCTCAAATATTTGCATATCTACCAACCTTGGCACTAAACAGCCCCTCAGTGTTAAGGTGGTCCACAACAATTTTTTTTGAAAAATATAAAAATTCTTTTCAAGCCATTGTGCAAGCCAAGTTGCTCTGAGTGAAAAAAGACTTGTAGGCATCTTCAATCACTATAGCTACCCAGACTAGACACACCCAATGTTGAAATATAGCCACGTAAACACGATAACTAACTCGGTTTTAACTCTAGAACGACGGAATTGCTTTTATTTAGTTCTAAGTATTTTTTCCCTCGGAGCTGAACTTAGAATAAATAAAACTTTTCCAGTGTTAAACGTCTCGCAGGCTATTAATATAAAACTTCGACGATCTATCTGAAATAAACAGTCGCTATTTTACTTGGACTGAACGGAATCGACCACTTTTAGTTCACCTCCAACCCAATTGTCTTTAAAGTCAACCATGAAAATTTTATCAATTTAGCTTTATCACTTTTTGAGTTATTGTGCACGAAAGTAAAAGGGAAATGAGAATTTTAGTTTGCTAAGAAAAGCGACGAAAAAAGTTTTGCATATAATCATAAATTATACAGAAGTAAGAGAACAATACAATAGAACAATGAAACAATAGAATAAGCCAACGACCCCTTTTGTTTGCTGAGGGTAAAACCCTAACTATCAAAACTTTTTGTTTAATTCTCGCGTTCTTTCTATATTTTTTTGGGGAAAAAAATTTAGGATCGCTTAGGGATACATTTTTAAAACATTTTTGAAATTTTTAAAACAGAATAAATCATGATTTTCTTCGTAGTGAACCACCTTAATGTTGGGTAATATTTTTTCTTTGTGATTCTTCACTCCGACGCTTAAGTAATTATTTTTCAATTGTTTGCCGGAGTATTTGAACCTCGATCACGCCTCAACTGTCAACTGATGAGAAACAGTATAATAAATGGGACAAGTCGGACAACTCATCCCAATCTTCAATCATGGTAAAGGAACTCACCCATGACCAAGTGTTGTGAAAGATGCATTTATAGTTTTCGTAAGCAAGTCTATTTTGTCATAATTCAATCTGAAATTTAACATTTTCAAGCTGTTAGTATAGAACTGAATACGCATGCACGCATAGCTTGACATCTCTAATGAGTCTCTTCGCTTTGGCAAGGTAATTGATAAAAGGAGAATAGTCGACGAATAGCGCGAATAGTCGACGAATAGTGCGAATAGTCGACGAATAGGGCGAATAGTCGACGAATAGTTGACGAGTAGTGCGAAAAGTCGACGAATAGTGCGAATAGTCGACGAATAGTGCGAATAGTCGACGAATAGTTGACGAATAGTGCGAATAGTCGACGAAGAGGCACCAGGGGTGCTGCTTTCTTCTCTCGTTGCTTTGGCAGAGAAAAAAATATGTTCCAAACGACGGCAGACACAACGCGGACAATCACAAGTATCACAACCTCGTCAGCTATCAACTCAACAGCCCTCCAGTTATTCAGGCATTATGTCATGACACTCAGGCAACTCCCCATATCAATATAAACTTGTAACCGTGAATAATAGGGTTACGGTTGTGGTCAGAATTTTGCGGATTGCTACAGAGAACAACCGAAAAATGTTGTGGTAAAGCATTATGACAGGCGTGTCAAGGTTAAAGACCAACAGGGAAGTTTGGTTTTTACGAAGGACTTCCAAGCGACATACTATCACCTAAATCAATCAATCAATCAATCAATCAAAACTTTATTTAAGCACGGTAAAATCTACAGTATAAAAAGTGGGCTATAATTATATGCATTCATTAGATATTTAGGGACAAAATTACTAAATACAACACAATACAATACAATTTAAAATACAGATATATAAACTGATTTACAAGATTGCCGTGCGAGAGTCTGTTTTATAGGGAAAAAATGTTGTCAATCTCCCTTTTAAATTGGTTAAGAGAGCATAATGCTCGTACATTTTGAGGTAACTCATTCCACAACACCGCGCCACCATAACTAAAACTTCGTTTAGCATAATTTGTTCGCGGTTTTGGTACAAATAAAGCATTTTCAGAGTTTCTCAAATTGTATCCTGTGCTGTGGAATTCAAATAAATTACGGAGATAATTCGGTGTTAAATCGTTAAGAATTTTGAACATTATTACAGCCTTGTGTTTTTTCCGGCGTGTCGAAAGATTGTCCCAACCTAGTTTAGTGAAAAGGTCGCTGGAACTTGCATCGTATCCAGATTTGGTAATTACCCTCGCTGCTCTATTTTGCAGTTTTTGCAATTTATCATTTAACGTGATATTTAAACCATCCCAAACTGAACTACAATAATCAAAATACGGTTGAACCAACCATATACTGAGGAAGAATCCAATGTTCAATGGACGAGTTATGGTGTCAAACGAAATGTGGGCGAACTTTTCGGAAGAGACTAAAATGAATGTTCATTCCTCTGGATTGCATGTATACAATTGATTTAAATTAGCTACTATTGTCTTTGTCGACTAAACACCGTTCTTGTTTATTTGTTTGAGATTTATATAGCTACCTGTTGTGTTTCGTTATGGTATTTTTTCTTAATGAGGTTTACTAAGTGAACTTGGAGGTTAAAAGGTATCGTAAGTTCACTGATTATCCTTGTATTTATTTTTTAAAGTATCGTTATAAATTATAACTAGTTTTTAAAGTTCAAATTTTAGTTATCTCACTTAATGTCGTTGCTATATACAGTAATATTATGTTCCCTCCGGAAATAGTGAGTTTCGTTTTCCCTCAAGCCTCATTGTTTCCTTCGAATTTACGTCCAGGAAGAAACTCACTATTTACCTCGAAAGCAGACATATATCGCCGGCTACTCGCGTTATTGATCACTCTTCGTCGAATATTCGCACTATTCGTCGACTATTCGCACTATTCGTCGACTATTCGCACTATTCGTCCACTATTCGCACTATTCGTCCACTATTCGCACTATTCGTCCACTATTCGCACTATTCGTCCACTATTCTCCTTTTATCAATTACCCTTTGGCAAAGGGCTTTCTAGCCAGCTCTCCAGCTGGCCTTGAATAATTCACTTTTCTCCGCAGCTGTTCGCCTATATCACATTACATGCATGTGCGATGCATATATATAACACCGTTCTGTTTTTCTACTAATGAGCGCTATTACAATAATTATAGTTTTTAATTTATGATATATTTTTTAATTTATAATATATATATATATATATATAGTTGTTTTTCACAAGAGTTTTCCCACGCCTGGAAAGAACGTTTTCTATATTAACAAATAATTATGCATATTTCCTGATTCCATCTCCGTTAAGGACCGGTTAAAAAATGCCCATATCAAGTGTTTTTCATGAGCGTTGTTTTCGAGAAAGTTGTTTTCCGGTGCGTTCACATCTTATCTGGGTTGGATTTGTTGCTTATGCCGGTTTTAACGAGGTTTGCGAGGTAGAACACAACAGTCATAACCTGAAATTGTATGTAGCGGCGGTGCATTGAATTTAGGCAACTCAAGAGGCGGTAAGTTTGTTTAATTCAAAGAATAAGAGGGTTCGTGTTTGATAGAATATTGAGCACATAATTTATATTTTTGTCATTTTGCGCCCTGTGGCAACACACAGGACGTAGGTTCGATTTCTGCCGGAAAGCTAGTATAATAACTGCTTATTTTTTCATCATGCAAAAGTGCGCTTATATATACTACAACCCTCTGATAGAATCACCCTCTGGCATCGACAAAGGAAATGCCCAACATTATATATCATCCAAGAATATCTTCATCAAATTAAGGTGTTTCGTTATCCAAAATACCCGGCAGTGCTTGCATCAATATATATAAATGCAACGGTTGGAGACAGCAGCGCTCTAAAAATGAAACATTATACGTGCAAACCCACACTCAATTTCGGATATTGTTTCACTCATATAATGGGTTAGGCTTGACATTTCTATTTATTCTTATAACATCGATTCCGAGTTAAATGAAATTATGCATTCACTTGTTTCAGCATTTAACAATAATTTACTAGATCACTGTAGATCGTCCTATATAATAGAACTTTATAAAAGTTCTTAAAAATTGATCGTTATTAACAAAATATTTTTAAAAAAGTTAATGTACACAAAGATATTATCTATAGCATGAAGGACTAAATCTTTAGGCTGGCTACGACTACGGCTGTGCTGGAAACAGTTAAACCCGGTTTTCATTCAATCGTAAATGTCGTGAACAGTAATTTTTACCGATGGAAAATAGTCCAGTAAATTATCTTTTTTTCTGTATTCAAACCGGCCATTTTTGACTGCACAAAATGAAACATACTCCGATAAACAAAGACATCTTGCACACCCCAAAATTTGAGTTATAAGAAAATTATTCAATTGGTCATATTTCGACTCCATGGGCATGGCAGAATCGAAATTATCTACCCTTAATATTAGGAATGGGAAAACTTATGAAGAAATTATGAATAAATTTTTTTCACCACATATAGAGCGTCTTTAATTAAGATGTCAAAACAACAGGTGACTATAGGCAAAC